GTCACCGAGACACAGATGCTGGCTAAATCATCCGCCACACTCAGGCGGACGAATTGGGCGGTAAAGTCGGCAGGCCGGCTTGCGGTCCTCCTCGCTGAAACTCAGACAGGTCTCACCCGCATACCTTGTGGGACATGGGCAGATGCGAACGACCTGACGACACGACTTTGACGCCGGCAGTATCCCTTCGAGCAGGGAGGCAATCACGAGATGGCGTTGTCTAAACCTGACCCGAGTGAGGACATGAGCTGCTCCCTGACAACTTCTCCCAAGCTGCCGAGACGAAACAGTCGTTGACTGCCCCGAAAACACTCCGAGCCGTTGCTTCACATCATGTTCTCAACTAATGTTTCAGCCACAACGTGAACACAGGCCGAGTGGCCGCTCAAATGCCATGTCGTCGTCATCGTGTTGCCGAACAACAACAACCGACGGTAGCCCTATGTCCGTCCGTGTAGCGTTGCGATCGCATCCGCGCGGCACCCGTACACAAGGACCGATAGACTCCACGCGAGCTCCGTGTGACGGCCGCGCGTCCGGTTCGAGCGGGGCCCAGTCCGGGCTGTCCCGCCCACAGACCATAAACAACCAAAATATCCCGGACAGCACGCTCCTTGGCATTGCGGCTCTTTGCAAGGGCCTGAGGGGTTCTGGTCCGGACGTGCGCATGTTGTGTTCCAGAAGGACGAAGGATTGACCCGCCCCCACGCCGGTCATCGGTGACGCTGCAGACGCATTGTGTTCCAAAGATAACAACATCGAGCGGGAAGCCTAGCATCAGATCTTGGCGTCCGGATCCCTAATAATCTTGCGCTGGCTCACAAGGCTGATGATGTGGGGGCCTGGAGTCCTTGTTGCTGTAGCACAACACGCTAGAGCGTCCGGGACATGATAAGCAGAACAGGTGAGCACGATTATGATGGTACGGATCGCATGAGACTTTGAATCCCGCATGCCGATGCAATTACCGTGTTCAGTCCCAGAGCGTCTGAGTTGCAGTTGAACAGAAGACCGACCGATTTACTGCATCGTTCGGTTCCCCTGAGAACCCAATGACCGTGAGGTACCGCGCATCCTTTCAGGGGAGAAATACTTGTTCATTCGGGCCACAGTGACATTTTTCAATGGTCAGTGAGGCGTCACGAGCGAACTGTTAACTGAAGTGCCGGCGATATCCAGTCACCCTGGCTTAAGAGGGTCGAGTTGAGGAGGTGACGAGGACCTTAGCTCTCCAGAAAACCTCAGTCTCAACATGACTCGATGTAAAAAGGATTGATTTCAGCCAATTCGCAGGATGTGCCATGCCAATGCAGCTTCTAGCTGGCTTTTCTTTTTCTTTGAGGGCAAAATGTTTGCACGGCAGACTGTCAAGTCGGCATCTCTGCCACGGTCTCAACGTCACTCATGGCGGCTACTCCTCCATACAGGCATGTATACACACAAGTATCATCCAAAGACGATCAGAGACGACGGTGTACTAGTCCCGTCGCGATCAAGTTTCGTTCCTGATGTGTTTAGCGTTTCGTAGCGGATAAGAGAGTCGATCGTTGTGATGGAGATGTCTCACAGAAGAAAGTTCTCTTGCGCAAAGATCATGTTGCTGGTGGCATCAATGTGCCGTCGACCGGAGAGTGTTTATATAGCCAATTCCTGGATGCGCTGTAGACGTGCTCTTCGAAAGTTTGGTACGTGTATATATTTCATTGCGATGGGGTATAGTTGAACCCTCACATCCAGACACAATCGCATGTCGGTCTCAACAAGCTCTTCCATGATTAGATCCCTCAAATAGTGTGTCATGACGGGCGGAGAGCTTGGTTGCGGAGGATCGTGAGAGACATCGTGGGGCTGGCTTATACACTTCTGCATACGTGAAGAACAGAGAGAGACGACGACGACGACGTTGGCGACGACGATGACAACAACTAGGACGACAAGAACCAGGACACTGTTCAGAGCACTTCAGAAGACCTTACAGGGCGGTGTCAAGAAAGCTACGTAAAGATACCTACCCAATGCTCAAAATATGTAAAGACGCCCCGCGACGCCTACCACGACGGCACCCCAGTCTGGTTCACAATCCTCCCTGCATCCCAATCCCTCTCCCCTCCAGCACCTTCCTAACAAGCAAGACTCGGATCCCTCCGCCAAGGTTCGTCGCCAGCTGTCCCGGCGAAACCCCCCAAAACCTTCACCCCGTCCGCCCTCAGCGTCCAGTGCCACGCCAAGACGAGCATGTTCAGCGCCGTCTTGCTGACGCGGTACCCCGTCGGCGCAAAATGGCTTGCCGGCTTCAGCCACCCGGCTACGGGCGCCTTACCGAGCCAGAACTCAAGAAGTAAGTCGGCTGCAAGTGGCCATCGTGTAAGTGGGCGTAAGGATCGGATTTCCAAACTCCGCCGGCTTGGCAAGATAAGGACGCCGGACATACTGCAGGTACGGGCTCGGGATTGACATTGTAGGCCCGTTATGACTTGATATCCCACCGGCACCGTAAGGGGCCAAAGACGCGATTGCTATGAGCAGCTGAAATGAAAAACGGCCAAACCAAGGAAGCCCAGTTGTGGCACGGTGATCCATACATTGTGGTGGCTCTGGGCAGCCTTTGCGGCAGATAAAAGACAAGATGCCATCAACCATGGACATGTTACCGCCATCTTCTGAGGGGGGTCGATTCAGCCTTGAACAGTGGGTATGCGGCGTGGCACATGAACGAAGATACTACAAGCAGTACGAGACGACGACATCAGTATTTGTAGCCGAGCGAGGTGTTCTGGCCGGGGCAAGCTTTCGGGTCATGTCGAAGCAATGATTTCGAACCAGAACTATCAGCGTGAACAACCTTCATCGGTCTCAGACCGGGAAGGCGGTTCTTATATTGTCCTCTCAGACCGCCTAACTGTTGATCTTCCTACTTCCCTTTATACTATCCGCCTCTGAGCAGGGCACTGACGACTTATAAAGCGGATGGTTATGGAGTGGTTCTTTTTGTTACACACAGAAATCTTTCAGTACGCTGCTGAAGTCGTTGGAAATTGCAGACTCGCTTCATACTTAAGCAGCGGCACCCAGCGAAGGGCCCCGTTTTCAATTGAAAGATTGAGCACGTCAGAGCATTGACTGCGGAATAAGATGGCGTAATAACCCCCATATTCAGTCAAAGACGAAGAAGGACGAGTGAGACCCGCCAGGGACCCGGAGCCTCTCCACCTATCACGGGATGATTCCATGGTAACCGTGGAAAGCCGCTCTGTCACGAAAGTCTTCCAGTAACTCTGTCCATTGATTGGTGTTCCGACTAAGGCGAGCTTTTGGGCCATCTTAACGCATTTTATTGCCCACAAAGTTTAGATCCAAGGACCCCGTGCGTCTCGCATGCCGAGAATCGACGGTTGCGTTGACGCGGGTATCTGTAGAATATTTTTGTGCTCCATGAAGAGATATAAAATGGCACCCTTCTGCTTTGTAGGCGATGGACCGAAGGGAATCCCTCCAAGGCCTGAATAAAGTCAGCGCGTCGCACAGACTGAAAGAAGATGCTCATTTTCGCGAGATGTTATTTCACCAGGCGTATATTCTCTCCCTCATCAGCCGGGAACGAAGGAGGAAGAGGGTGTGCAGGGGAAGACTACAGGTACGACACACCAGATCGGCTGCTTTCTGAGCCACAACAAGGAGAGCCATCGGTCTGCTTACCTTCATTTGGGAAAGAACTGTGCGAAAAGACAACAATGTCGGGCCCTCGGTCTCAAACCTTGGCAACACAATTTATACTATCAACTCCCATGGCAGCGAAACCGTGACTTGAAGCCGCCTAGCGGAGTATAAAAGCCAACCAAGAAGCAGCACACCTTTCTACAGTTCAAACGAATTTTACCAAAACCAGAAAGAGTGTCGCGTGGATCTGCGGTAACACCATCCACCCCTCAAACAGACTCGCCCGTCAACCGTCATAGCGTATCGCCCAAGACTCGGGGAACTCTCAGACACCTTTACACAATTCATGAATAACCCACAATGAATACAATCAAGAAACCGCAAGACGACAGGACCAAAGGAAGCCGGCGTCGTCAATTCGACGGTGTCCGTCCGATACCCCAGGTCCACAATGCGTTCTGCATCAGGGTGTTATTTGTCTGACGAGCTTGTAGCCAACTGGGTCCTTTCATTACATTTGCTGGATGTCTTCTCAATGGGTCAGAAGCTGATTTAAATAGGCCATAGAAGTGACTAGCACAACGTCTAATACTCATCAAGCGATTGCAGTTGCTCATAATCACGGATCAACCATGACGAATACGATCGAGAAAGTTTACGACGACGAAAATGAAGGGAGTCGGTGCTTCGGCGGAGCGAGCTGGCCCGTCAAACCCCAGACCGGAGGCCAGTCACCTTGTTGCAAAACGATGGCCTCTCATCTTACCGAACGTCTCTTCCGACTCGGAATATAGATGGTTTATGTACCAAGTAAGGCCGATAGGTGGAAGGCCATCCCGAGCCCACGTACTGGTCTCTGTCAATACATCCCGTCGACGCCTGTCACGAAACATTGCATGTCAGCTAACATTCTTCACAATGCAATAGGAAACACGATAGCATCTTGAATGATTGGGATTATGTCTATCTGACCACCATACAAAGTGGGAGGGGAGTCTACTTTCTCAACCCTAGACCATTAAAAACCAAAGGCTATAGCAAAAACACGTTGAGATCATACATCTCTTTCTTCTCGTGTGATCGTCAACAATAAAAGCCCCTCCTTTTGTGAGCAAAGTGTAGTAGTAGTAATCGTCCCACGATTGAGACAACAGGTATCATGGCCAGTTCTAATCTCCCGCCATCTGCCTCGGAAAATTCAACAAAACGCCAAAACAATGCAGAAATAGACATGGATCGGTTTCTTCGATCCGGATATCTCAGGAGACAACGCGATGGGGACCTCCGCTGGCATATGCACTTTTCTTCTTTTTTCTTTCCTCTCACATTCACACTCTAACCGATCACCGGTTCTTCTCCAGGGACTGGAGGTTGACCAGCTCGGCGTAGCGGCCGTTCTTCTTCATCAGCTCGGCGTGGGTGCCCTGCTCGACGATGCGGCCCTGGTCGAACACGTAGATGATGTCGGCCTTCTGGATAGTGCTCAGACGGTGGGCGACGGCGATGGTCGTGCGGCCCTTGGCGGCCTTGTCGAGGGCGGCCTGCACGACGTGCTCCGATTCGGAGTCGAGCGCCGACGTGGCCTCGTCGAGGAGTAGGATCTTGGGGTCACGGATGAGCGCGCGGGCGATGGCGATGCGCTGCTTCTGGCCACCAGACAGGAGGGCGCCCTTGCTGCCGACGACGGTGTTGAAGCCCTCGGGCAGCGAGACGATGAAGTCGTAGATGTTGGCCTCGCGGCAGGCGTGCTCGATGGCCGCGTCGGTGACCTCGGACGCGGCGCCGAGCAGGATGTTCTCCTTGATCGTGCCCTGGTAGAGGGTAGGCTCCTGGCTGACGAGGGCGATGAAGGAGCGGTACTGGTTGACGTTGAGGGAGCTGATCTCCTTGCCGTCGATGTAGATGCCGCCGGACAGGGGGTCGTAGAAGCGCTCGAGCAGGGCGATGGTGGTCGACTTTCCGCAGCCGGACGCGCCGACGAGAGCGACGTACTGTCCGGGGTGGATCGACAGGTTCAGCCCGCGGAGGACGGGCTGCTCGGGGCGGGTGGGGTAGCGGAAGTGGACGTCGCGGAACTCGATCGTGCCGTCGACGGAGTCGAGGGCGGCGCCGTCCTCGGACCAGGTGTCGATGGTGGGCTTGCGGTCAAAGAGGATCTTCAGCTCGTTGGCAGCCTGGTGCGCCTTGCCCATGTCGGGAGCAAAGGAGAAGATGGAGCCGGCAGACTGGGCGCCGAAGATGACGGCCGAGAAACACACAAAGAACTGGAACATGTTGTACTCGAGGTCGGCGATGAGAGTACCGCCATACCAGAAACCGAGGGCGAAGGCCAGGAACATGAAGGACTGCGAGGCGGCGAAGAGCAAGCTGGACTTGAGGATGGACATCAAACTTGCGCGCTGCTGAACAGCCAACGAAGCCTGGTACTGGCGGATGACGTCCTTCTCGCGAGTGAGCGAGGCGACAGTGCGGATGGCCGAGATGGCCTCGGACGCGTAGCTGGCAGAGTTGGAGTAGGCGGTCTTTGAGCGGCGCTGGAAATGCGCGAGCATCCAGAAACGGAAGAAACCACAGCCGATGAGGATGGGAATCGTCGCTGTGCAGACCAACGCTAGCTTCCACCCGATGGCGATGGCGAGAGCCAGAGCAGCAATCAGAGTGGTAGACACCATGAGCAACGTGCCGAGAGTGACACCGCTGAGTCCGGCAAGATGTGTCGTCTCAGTCGAGAGGAAGGAGGTGAGCGCACCGGCGGTGTTCTCGTCCTTGTCAAAGAAGGAAACGTCCTGGCGAAGCATCGTGCGGAAAGCCCGATCTCTGACGCGGTGAACCAGCCTCTCGGAGCACTTGGCGAACAGGACACCCTGGATGACGAACGCGATGAACTGAACACCAGCGAGCATAAGGTACATGGCGCTCCAAAAGTCGGAATCCTTCTTCATCTGGTGAGCGTTTTCGGGGGTGACAGGGACCGAGAGGGTCATGATCTGCTTGGCGAAGAAGACGGCCTGGGTGGGGTTACCACCACCGCAGATGATGGAGAAGAAGAGACCGACGAGCATCAGGTGCCATTCCTGCTTGTTGAACGAGCCGATGAGCTTGATCAGAGTCCAGAGGCCGTACTTGACCTCGCCGTCTTCCTTCTTGCCCTGAAGAGCAATGCTGGAGAGGGACTTGGTGGTGGAGGTACGCGCGAGCTTGGCGGCAATGTTGTCCTCGGGGTCGGGAACGAAATCGCCCTTCTCGGAAACGCGGGACTTCTTGCGGATGAGCTCGTCGTCTTCAGCATCAATGGCGGCTTCCTCCTCAGCATCCATCTCGTTGACGCGGGCGATGTTCTGGGCGCTGACGAGGTTGTAGTAGGCTCCCTGCTTCTCGAGAAGCTCGTCGTGGGTTCCCTGCTCGACGATTCTTCCGTTGGACATGACGACAATGTTGTGGGCATCCTTGATGGTTGACAGACGGTGGGCAATCGTGATGGTGGTGCGGCCCTCGGAGGCGACCTCGAGAGCTGCCTGGACCACACCCTCAGACTTGGTGTCAAGAGCGGAGGTTGCCTCATCGAGAAGGAGAACTAGGAAAGTTAGTAGAATTCTTTGTCATGAATCCAGGGAAACTTACTCTTGGGGTCAGACACGACGGCTCTGGCGATGGCGATACGCTGCTTCTGGCCGCCAGAGAGCAGGAAACCGCGCTCACCGACGTTGGTCTCGTAACCCTCGGGAAGACCTGTGATGAAGTCGTGGGCATTGGCCATCTTGGCGGCGTTCTCGATCAACTGGCGTTGCTCCGCCTCGCCGGCGTTCTCGTGCTTGGTGCCGATCAGTCCGTACCTGATGTTCTGGTAGATGGTGGTGCCGAAGAGAGTGGGCTCCTGGCTGACAAGAGCCATCTGCTGACGCAGCCAACGCAGGTTCAGGGTGCTGATATCGTGGCCGTCGAGGAACACCTTTCCGCGGACGGGGTCGTAGAAGCGCTCGACGAGACCGACGATGGTACTCTTTCCGGAACCAGACGCACCGACAAGAGCTGTGGTCTTTCCGGCAGGAATGGTGAGGGTAACATCCTCCATAACAGTGACCTCGGGGCGGGACGGGTAGATGTGCTTGATGTTCTCGAGGCGAATCGTACCCTCAAGCTTCTCAATCTTCTCGCCGGCATCGCTGGACGGGTCCAGGGGAGAAACACGGTCGATGGTGTTGTAGATCTTGGCAGCCGCAGCGATGGCGGTGGTGAAGGCCTGGACGTTGGGGGCGACGTTTCCAAGGTTGAAGGCACCGATCATAATGGACATCATGATAATCAGGATGTTGGACAGCTTGATGCCGTCGTCGATGAGAAACTTGCTTCCCTGCCAGAAAGCCAAACCGTAGTTGAGGTACAGAATGGTCATCATGAGAGCAACCATGACACCGATCGTGGCCTTGACCTTGTAGCCGTAAAACTCGGCCTTGGTGAGATGCTCGTCGTACTGCTTCGCCAGGCGGTCCTGGGTGCCAAAGGCCACGGCGTTGCGAATGGAGCTGATGACCTCGTCGGCAAGACTGCCTCCGTGGGCGTAGGACTCGATCGACTGCTTGCTGTACTTGACAATAAAGGATGAAGCACCTCCCATGCTTAGAAGCAGCGCCACAACGGTGGACAGCAGAATGAGCGTGAGCTTCCAGTAGTGGACGAAACCAATGACAAAGGCCGAAATAAAGGTCGCAATTGCGGCCAAGGTCAGGCCGACCTTTTCGGAAATACCGTCCTGGATCAGGTTCGTGTCGGCGGTAATTCGAGTCGTGACCTCTCCAGCGCCCAGCTTGTCGAAGAAGCCAATGTTCTGACGCATGCAGCTCTCGAGATAATGCTCGCGAATCTTGGCGCTAATGTGCTCTCCCGTGTCTGATTCGGCGTGTTAGATATAAGCTTGCATCCTCCCGGTAGGGGTTCACTTACAAATGAAGCCAACGGTGGTGACATACTGCGCCACGAACACACCAATGGCGAGGTAGACAAAGTACAGAACCAAATGGGCCATCTCGCTCTTGAATGTGCTCTTGGCGTCGTCGGTGGGCGGGAATTCGTTGAAGTAGTTCTGGAAGGTGCCCTGCAGGTTTCCGAAAATGACGGTCATGAGCGGCAGGGCGGCGCCCACGGCGATGGACATGAAGGACGAAACGGCGAGGATAATGAGGTCGTTCGTGGAAGAGTAGCGGTACAGGGTGAGCATGCCGGCCTTGATCTCGGGCGTGGTGACCTGGCGCTTGAGGATCGAGGCCTCGTGCTCGGGGAGGTGCTTGTAGGGGTCATCGTTCGGTTCTTTGGGCGCGACGACCTTGGAGTCGGCCTTCTCGAGAGCGACGGACTTGGTCTTGGGCTGGCCAGGCGCATCCACCTCTGTCGACTCGCCGTTGGAGGAGGCTCTATCGGAAGAGTGGCCGCCGTTGCTGGGGGCCTTTTCGACCACCGGCTTCTCGCTGACGGACTTTTCGTTTTCGGGGGCCATGGTGGTGGGTGTGGGCAGCTCCTAGCAGAGCCGAGGAGAGCTACTGTTGGGGGGATTATAAGAGCGCGCTCGTTGCGCGAGAGTGCGCCGCGCGCAAGCTGTGCGGTTGTTTCGTCTGAAGCAGCTTGGGAGGCGCAGGCGTGTTGCGGGCCGAAAGTGGTGATGTCGTCGTCGCGAGTTATGTAAGTAAGGGCAGGCCGAGCTCGAGCTCCGAGTGAGTGGGACGGGACGGCGCTTATCGCATGCGGTTGTTGGTGTTGTTGGCTTGGCGACGGCGCCGAAAGGTTGAATTATTCCTCGCAGATATGCTGCGAAACCCCAGACCAAGTCGGGAAAAAGAAAAGGAAGAAAAAGTGGCAGCAAGAGTGGTGGGAGTGGAAGAGGGCGCGGCGCGGATGGCGAAAGCCAAGAAAAGATTTGCAGCGATCGGGATCGTCCTTGGGGATCAAAGAAGGAACCGCAGCAGGCAAACCAGATCAAATCAGCAGGACGGCCGAGAATGAGAGAAGAGGGAGACGATGTTCGCTATCGGCAAGGTAGGGCGTGTGCCTTCTTCTTCAATCATTAATAAAAACAAGAGGGAAAACAGAGGCGTTTCCACCCGGGGTGCAGGCCAGGATAGGGATTAGTGGTACGGATAGTATGTACTTTCCGTATGGACCTGGATGCGAAGTACGATTAGGCGGAGAGGAAGAAGAGCCCTTGCAACCCTGGCCAGGACAGGACTGGGGTGGGACTTTTGAGATATACCCTGCCGGTGGACGGAGCTGGACTGGGCCGACTTTGGAGTCTTCACCTCACAGGTTAAGTGTTGGACTGGGGTGGACCACCGCGACCCTCCTCGGGTCGGGGCAGCGAGGGACACTCACCCTCGAAGGCCCGGGGTCGACGAGTAGGAAGCCAGCAGCACGGAGACAGAAGGCGGCGGAATGCAGCCGATCCGTAGTCTTGCCCACGCAGTAAATGACCTCGCACTTTCTCAGCTGCCCGAACTGACACTAGCCTCCACTGTTTGCGCCGCAATCCAACAAGAGTCATAGTCGGCCTCGTCATACGGCCATGCAGACGTCGTAACGGTCGTATCTTACTTCTCCTGCCTAGCTGGATGGCTTACCTGGCGGATAGATACACTGGACTACATTTCCAACCTGATGACCCGCTCCGCTGGTTGAGTAAGACTTTGAAGATACGTAAAGAGCAATTACACGTATCCGTACCACCACGGCAGACCGTAAGGCGGAGTTCTGACTGCCTGCCCGGTGAGATAGATGGGGAAGCGATACGCAGTGTGTGATCTGAGGCGCATCCGTTAGCCTCTACAGGACAAGCTATGCGTACTTACTTAGTATCCGTACTTTGCTGCATTCTCCACGTCCGGGGTTGCGAGAAGTGCGAGGACCGGGGCCCGGGATTCAAACGGGCACATTAGCCACGTTGCCCATTGCTTGTCTGTCTGGTTTCCGTCCAACTAGTCGATCTGGGGAAATCATTCTGTACTCTGTATTACCTGCAATTGGTATACATCAACAAAAATACTGAGCATTGTCTTCAGCCGATGTCCATTGTTTGAATTGCCGCCATCTCGCTTGTCTTCCAGGGGCCTAGCTGGGAGAACAACTGCTTGTGACAATTGACAATTGCCCGTTGGGGAGCGTGAGGGTGTGTAGCCACACATGCGACGAAAAAAAAGCCTGGTTCTGGCCCTCCTTCTCCTCCGCCCGTGGGTTGAAAGGTTCGTTGAAGAACAGACGGATTCAAGCTCCGAACATGCTCTGTCACTCGATCCGAGGTCCCAAGCGCAGGCGCCCAGAGACTTGGGTCTTGGACAGTGAACATCCAGGATCAACCACACAAAGCCCGCTCCGCTCCCTCGGACTGTCCTTGCCATCCAGTTTATTTCTTGCTCTCAAAGTATCCGTATGTGACTTGGTGACGCACAGCATGTGGTAGAGTTGGCGGGTACATCTCATTCGGTCATGACAGAAAAGGCGCCCAATAACATCAATTGCAAAACAACAAGAGTGACACAGGAAAAAGTTCCCCCGCCATCATATCATCATCCTCCATTTTTCCTTCCAGAAACAAGCAAAAAGCCACTAAGCCCGTCCCGTCTCGCCGCCCTCGGTACCCCCTTCCCGCCACCCTAGTCGAGTCAGCCAAACTAGCCGCACTCGCTTACCACCTCGCAGCACCGCAGCTGGGGCGGGCTCCTCTCCTCCACGCCTCTGCTAAGCTGAAGCACTGCTTCTTTATTATTCCTGCCCCTCCCTCGGGCTTCTCGACTGCCCCGAAATCCGGTCGTCTTCATTTCCTGCTCTCCCCAGAGCTGGCCCGAAAGATTTCGCTTCCAGAACATCTGCGACAACCGGTGGAGTTTTTCGAATCTGAGATGCGCAAGCAGGTCTCACTCACCCATTCTTCTTACGTTGGCACTGTTGAAAGATGCAACTTGAAAAAAGGGAACACAAATAGAAGAAACCCCCCTGGACTCAAAATCCCCCGGTAACAAGGTCCCTAGCAGCATGCCCGTTTCCCTGCACAACTACAGCAATCGTGCGCCGGCGATAACGTTGCTCTCGGGCCCGACGATGCGGGTGCGCAAAGAAAAGGAGGCTTGCAGGCTGGCACTGGCACCAACAAGTCTAAAAGTTCCAAAGAGAGTCAGACCTGTCGGTGACACCTGCCTGTGCCACCAACGGACAAGACTCCGTCTGGGCGCTGGGCGTTTGGCGCGGTTACCAGCTCTCCTACTCTTCCCGCGTGGCCGTACCATTGCGACGACTATTGCTTCACCATCTGAGAAGAAAGAAACGCCTCCAATTATTGACATATGAATGATTGTTACTTATTATCCGAAGGTCTCTATTGCTATGCTGAGTTTGAGAGGGGTGTTGGTCTTCAGGAACAAGCTTTCAACCAATCGCCCCCGTTCCGTTCCTCACGGACGGGACGATCTGGACTTTGGGCATAAGGTTCCCTCGTGCCGGGAAGCGGTGGGCTGCCGCCAGATAACACCATCGTCTCAACATTTCGTTCAGCATTATGAGGATATCGGGTGAGAGCTACTAAATTCCGAGACGAGGATGTTGTCTGAATAGCATCGTCATATACTCAGAGGGGTTCTCACAAGTCACTGCGATTTGCAGACACATGACACTGGGGATACGCGTAGATTGCGGCGATACGCGGTGAACCAAATCAAAAACTTCGGATAAGCCTGGCCTTCGAGAAGGGGGACAGGGGTTGAGCCTTCCCTGTCAATCCCGGCGTGGCGTCCGCCCGTCTAAGCGATGCAACAATCACAACGGAAATGTAACATGTGCTAGCACCGAAGTGCTTGCTAACTTGGGACAAGTTACCACGCGCTACCGATCGCCACGAGAGAGAGTCGCTCCATATCGAACGCTTGGCGATTGGATCCGCCGTCAGTTTAGTAACAAAAAAACAGGAACCATGGTTGTCCAATCGCTTCTGTGCTCGCATTCCAATGCGAAGTCGGGCGCAAAAGAATGTACGATGTAAGCGACGGCGCAGGCAAACCGGCAACGCTAAAAACGACGGCAACGAGTCACCGAGACAACTGCTGACATCTCGGAAATATTTGTTATATTATCAAACAGCGGTGATTCACGGGGAGCGGCGTTGCATGGCGGTGATGAAGTATTACTCACATCAACTAAGAATGTATCGACAGATAGGATCGAGATTGTGTAGGTGGATAATCACAGGTCGAGGCAAGCTGAAATAGCTTCATGGCTCCTTCCTGCCCTATCTTGTCTATCTCTGCTGCCATCCTACCGTCCTCTACCACCAACAGCCTCAAGCGTCGCCGTCACCGCTCTTCCTCTTCAGATGACCCTCGATGAGCGCAAGTTGAGCCTCAAGCACCGCCGCCACAAACTCCCGCGGCCTCCCCTCGCAGGCGCCGCGTATCATCCGGATATACTCCTCCCTCTCCAGCTCGCCCTCGGGCCGGAGGATCGCGGGCAGGTAGCCCTGCCGCGCCATGTAATCCTGCATGACCATGCGACTGACACGCCCATTCCCGTCGGGGAGCGGGTGGACATCCACAAAGTACGCCGTCATCTGGCACGCCAATATAAGCGGGTGAAGCAGTCTTGCCGCATGCTGTGCGTCCCGCCACGCAAAGAACCGCCGGGCGCACGCCGGCACCTCCTGCGGGTACGGGAACACGGTGAGCGGGCTGCTCCGCACCGCGACCGGCAGCGTCCGGTATCCCCCAAGCGGCACCGGCCCGCCCCATGCCATCCCATATGCCGTGGCCTCGGAGGCGGTGCCCTTGATCGACAGCGCCGCGAGGTCCCGCATCTCGCTCTCGGTGATGCCCGGCGTGTGAAGCTTCGCGGTCGCGTTGTCCGCGATCCATTGCGAGGCGATGATGTGGTTCCGCAGCTCGACCGTCGCGGAACACTCGTCCGGCTCCGCGAGCTCGGGGAGTTTAGTTGATGGCATCGAGAGCATCCCCACAGGCCCGAACCGCTGCTTGAACTTCAACTGTTCAAAGATGCGGACCGCATCGACGACTTGTAACGGGTTGTGCTCGATCATGACGGACTGCTGCGCATAGCGCGGGACCAGCTTCCTCGCGAGCTCCAGGACCGGCAGCCTGCCTCTCAAGTCATCGATCCTCGCCAGTAAACCGTTAAACTTCTGCTGCAGGTCTACGTTTCCCAGCCGGCGGCTGTCGCTGGGCTAAAAATAGTCTTCCCATACCCTGCCCGAGTTCGCAAGTCTCTTGTACTCCTCGGATCCCTTTTGAAGGTTGGCGAAGGGTGCGTAGATTTCCTTAAGCTTCGCCTTGCGTGCAAGCTGTTCCCGCATGTGCTTCAAGGTCTTGATGTACATGGTTGGGGTTGTGTGTTATTTTTGACTTTTCAACTGCCGGATTAGTAGTTGGTCAGTACGTTCGTGCACGTCCAGGCATGAGCCCAGCTGCTCCTGATGTTCATATAAATTGCTGCATGACCTTGTGAGGTCCAGCTAGAGGAACCCTTGGGGTTGCTGAACTTTGTGATTTTGCCGGTTACTCAATAGGGTTGTGAACTAACACTGAATAGCGCCTGGTAAGGTGATGCCATGGTTGTTGATACTGCCAGTGTCCTGTCTCTGCCATTGCCTATTTCTGCGTCGTTTATCTCGATGCCGTCCATCATCCTATGCGTCGCCTTCTCTCTTGATTCTCTTTCGAAAGTGTCATCTTCTCCACTGCAGCTACCATTCCTATCCTCTTCATCAAGTTGCCGATAACAAACTCAGTCTACTCGCCCGCGACACCTTCAGCCCAAGACAGCAGCTGCCGCACACCAACGCCGTCTCGGTACCGACTCGCGAAGTTCCCAGCCGTCGTCCGAAAACCCAAGTCAGCTTCGGACAAACTCTCCGGACATCAATACCAAAAGACCTGGACCAAGCAACCAAAGTCCCTCCTCCTGCGCAGTGCTGACTCGGCAGGCGCGCTCACGTACAGCACGGCCCTCAAAAGACGTTGAGCGGCGCGGCAGAGGAACGGAACCCACGCACTTCATAAGCCAGACAGAAGAGTAGCCCGAGCTGCATTATCTGATCTCCGCAACGAACATGTGCACCCACGATTCACATGTTCAGTACCGGGTCCCTGGTGGAGTTCCGCTGGACAGAGACCTCCAGCGTTCCTGAAGCCAAGAGCAAAAAGAAGGTGAACCACAAGACCGCAAAAGTGGGAACCTTACCGGCAGACACTCCGAGACAAACGATAGCGAAAGCGAGCAGAACAACGATCGTCAGTCTATAGAAAAACCGGAGCAGACCCCAAGACACGGGATTCCCAGAGAATTCCACGTCCGTAGGGATGGGAGACCGCGCGGCATTCCCGTGAGAAGGGCTCGATGGGCGGGTTAGCGCTGTCAGCATCTCAGGTGCACCTATGGGCCCCGACATGCTTACCCTGGACGTCGAGGGACAAACTACCAAGGAAGAGGCTTGATGACCACAGCTCGGGGAATCGTTGTTCTCCGAGAATTAAGAAGAGTAAAAACCGTTCCCGCGCTACAACACCCCGCTAAAAAGAAGACAACAGGCAGATTGCCTTTCGGCTGTCTAGTAGAGAAAGGGGAAAGGGGGGCCCGTCAGCATGGAAAAGAAAGGGGACCCGTCTTGGCGATCTGCTGGGCCTACTATGTGCAAAGTGAAGCAGAGCAGTGACCATGTTCACGTCTGAAGGACGAAGCTTGGCTTTTTTTTTTTTTTCCGGCATTGAACATCGTATTTTGCATATGCTGATGCAATTGTCTGCATGCATCTCGCAGCCTCTGTCTCTCCCCGAGTTTCGCTATCTACAAAATTCCATGTTGATTCTTTGCTGTTCTCTCACTGCATTCGAGTCATAAATCAAGCATGGTGCGCCAAGTCGAAGAGAAGACGGCCGTCTTCAACACGCACAAAAGGCACAAATATTACATGAGATGAATGCACCGCCACAGCGAAAATGACTCCAATCACACTCCACTGCATACATGTGGCGCACTGCTACTCGCCCGCCACACCTACGCCACGTCTTCACCGACGCCACGGGACCAATCCCATCGCGACCTCGTCACCGTAGCCTCCTCACAGCACTCCAATTACACCGGGCGAGGAGCCTGGTCCCATCATCATATCTGTCCTCAACCTCACGCTCACCCTGCCTCACTGGACACATACTCCTCTATAATTCGGTCGACGTATACCAAAACACCAAACAGCCTGAGAAAGGGAAAACCAGCTTGAAACCCTCTCACCTTCATGCTCTAACATATCACCAACTTCCTCAGGCAACCCCCGCCACACGGGACACACCCAAACCCCGAGAAAAAGCGACTCCAGCGTCGTAACCAACGGGCACACTCGACACTCCGGCCCCCAAAGCCGACAAGAAAAGATGCACCTCTCACTCACCCTCTCGCTGCTGCTGCCCCTCGCCGCAGCAGCCAGCAAACCCAAAAACGCAATCCTCCTCTCGGACGTGCAATCCCTCACCCTCCGCGGCAACGGCGCCCTCACAACCCACCGCCGCGCGCCCGCCGCCCCGCAGCTCAAATGCCTCTCCGCAAAGCCCCTCTGCGACCTCTTCGCCATCGACGTCATGCGCTGCACAAACCAGGGCGCCGGCTACTCCCCGGAGGACATCCAGTGGTCCTGTGTCGCCCAGCTGCCCGAGGAGCTCAAGCTCGGCTCCACGGACGTCATCTGCGAGGGCTACAGCTCCAAAGACGACCCGTACGTCCTCAAGGGCAGCTGCGGCGTCGAGTACCGCCTTGCCCTCACCGACAAGGGCGAGCGCAGGTATCCCGACCTGGGCCGCGGCGGCGGTGGTAGGGACGGGGAGTTCGACATGAGCGCGGTCTTGTTTGGCATTCTCTTCTTCGCTGTCCTGGGCTGGATCGTGTACTCGGCGTGTGTGGCGGGTGAGCAGAACCGGAGGGCCGGTGGCCGGCGCCGCGGAGGTGGTGGAGGAGGTGGAGGCGGAGGAGGCGGTGGTTGGAATCCCGGATTCGGTCCGGATAACAACGATCCTCCACCGCCGTACCCAGGGACGAAGCCCTCCGGCAGCAATTCGCAGCAAGGATGGCGGCCTGGTTTCTGGACCGGAGCAGCAACGGGCGGCGCTGCTGGTTACGGAGCCGGGTACTACCAGGGACGGAACGCCGCCAGAAACGAGCAGCGCGGCTGGGGCTACGACGAGAACCAGTGGGGAGCTGGTCCGTCCAGATCCTCTACCAGGTCGTCCTCGTCTTCGACCTCTTCTGCGCGACACGAGAGCACCGGCTTTGGCTCAACCAACAGAAGGTAGCTGTTCGTCACGAAGCAGGAAATTCGTTGGGAATACTTGGTATGGATGGGTCAGTGGTAGGATATTCTAGATCTATCCTGTACACCCCAGCTTTCGTACATCAGTCCTCCTCTCGCCGGCCACCTGCTCTTGTGAAAACCCTCAAACGGGGTGAAAGTATGTACATACTCAGTCCAGGCCGTCTTCCATACACGTAAAAGTACAGCAATCCATCGTGTCCAAGTCAAACATCCTCTGGGCCAACCCCAAGGTATCATGCCATGAAACCCCTTGCTCTGCGAAACAAACTCCATATGGCACACAAACATGTTCGAAGTAGTCGAAACATCAGCCCGCGCGTCGAAAGTCCCAGGGCTCTCAAATTAAATGCGTCGGACGTCGAAGCGAAGCAGAACTGCCAAGGGCTAGTGGTGGACACTCATAACATCCAGCCGATCAAATGCCCGCGAACAGTTAGGGCACTTTCGCATGCGGTTGCTGATCCGGTCATCCACGCACTGGTGGCAGAACAGGTGACCGCAAGTCTTCAGAGCCGTGTCCTTGAAGTTGTTGCGGCAGACAGTACATAGTGCAAAGGTCTGTCGTCTGTTAGATATTTGCATTCCTGAGCAGGAACAGAGGGCCAACTTACTCTGAGCATTTCCTCTTCCTCCGACGAGTTGCTCAACGCCTTGCGTTTCCACTCGTCCTTGTCCTTCTGCACCATGTCTGCGCGCACCTTGAGTCGCTCCACCTCCGCTTCTTGAGTTGTCGTTCGTTCTCTTGCGGCAGCAACGGCCGCATCGCGGGACTTGACGAGACCCGACAGTTCGTTGATTTGGTTCTTATACGAATCAGCGCGACGCGCAGCGTCGGAGCTGGTTGCCTCCATCTTCTTGTGCTCCGCCGCCATGGCCGCGTTTGCCTGCTTCAGGTCGGAGAGCTGCTTTTCGAGGTTACTGATGAGAACTCTGTGCTGCGCCTCAACTTCCTTTAGCTGCGACACGATTTCGGAGCTCTTGCGGTGCTGGCTCCTGAGCACACCGAGTTCTCTATCCCTCATGTCGGCGTCCTTCTTCACTGCGAAGTACTTCTGGTCGGCCTTTTGCTTCTCAGCGAGCGCTGCTGCGACCCGCTCCTCGAGGGCGGTAAAGTCCATGACCTTCTTCTGTGCCAGGGTCATGGATCGCTTGTACGCTTGCTGCAGTGCCGGCAACTCCTTGTTGATAGACTCGAAATCTTGCTGCAGCTTCTTATACTTGGCTAGCAGTTCTTCGGCAGGCAGGGTGTCCAGTTCGGGGTCCGGGTCCGCCATCTGCTGATCTTCGGGCTTCAATCGCTGTAACTCCAGCTCCAGCGACGTGATTCGATCCTGTTGGGACCCGGTGAGCTCCTTGAGGTGCTGGTGCGCCTGCTTCTCCTCCCTTTCTCGCGTTTCCAGCATATTCGCCTTGGCGTACCACTCGTCTCTAGCGGCTCGAATTCGGGTCAGATCCGCGTCGCGCTCCTCGACCTGCCGCTCCAGTTCAATAACCATCCCCTGCGCCTCATCATGCAGCTTGGTTCGGAAGGCCGTTCGCTCCGCCTGCAGCTTCTCGGCCTCCTCCTTGAGCTGCTTGTTCGTCGCTTCCAAGTGGTTAACTCTCTTGATCAGATCCTCGTTTTGGCTCTTGAACTGCTTGAAAACATCGGTCCTAATGAAGTCTTCATCGGTGAGCCCCTCGCGTCGCGCCTTGAGCGCCGAGTTCTCCTCCTGTAGTGTCTTGATATCGGCCTGGGCAGCCTCAAGCTGCTCCTTTTGCTTTGCGACGACCGCCGACGCCTCCTCGAACTTGATCAAGGCCTCGGCGGCGTTACCATTCGCTTCGGCGTTGTCGCTGCCGTTCTCTCCCCCAGCGGCTGTCGGCTTGGCACTAGCAATGAACTGCTGCTCGAGCTTTTGTACTTGGGCGCTCTTAAGTCGGTCCATGCGCTTTTCCGCCTTAAAGAATCTCAGGCTGGCCTTGTTGAGATCCTCTGATAGTTGTTCATTTTCCTGGTTCGCTCGGTCGAGCTTCACCAGATAGTCCTTCTGTTGGGCGAGAAGGCTATTCACTCTAGTCTCCAGGTCGGCAATGTTTGGCGTTATTTCACCTCTGGCGCTTGCGATCCGGTTAATGACTGCTTCGGCTCGCTTCCTTATGTCCGCGGTGGTGTCGCCCAGGTGCCGTTGAAATTCTTCGTTATCCTTAAAATGCGTGCTAGTAATGTATGGGGGGCCTAGAATCGTCAGCAGCAATTCGCTTCGATCCGATCGCGGGTAAACCTACTGGTTGGGCCTGACGGTGGTGGTAGCGCGGGATCCACGAGCTGTTCCATCTCCTCCAATACCTGCGACAGTCAGCCCCAGCCACACCAGTCACAAGGGATTCAATCGAAAACCAACCTGCTTCCACCATGCTTCGATGATGCGGATATGATCCTCCCGATGGTTGAGGTTCTTTTGCAGCTGCTCGACGCGTGACTCGAAATCGGCTTTTTCCCTCTTTGTTTCCTGCAGCTGCCTGTATATGGCGCCCTTTTGGTAATTCTGAAGTCACTTCATCAGCTTCGGGCCCTTTCCATGTATTTCGCGTCATGCGATCGTCTCCAGAGGCAGATGGTATGGGAGGGAAATCGGATGCGTGGGGTGTGGAAGACAGGGAGACGGCATCGTCTTCAGCCAGCCTCGTCGCCCTCGGCCGCCGACCGAAAGGCCATTCCAGACCAGTCGACCGCGATCCGCCAGTGTTGGGCGTGGCTAGGGGCTGTCGATGATCGTGATGTCGCGCAGCCATTGACGGCAGAAGGGGGTCGCGTAGGGGTCCATTGATTGTTGAGAAAACTTGATGTGTTGGGAAACCGTGTCTCGTGACACTTACCTCGATCCAATGCTCCTCGGCGGTATCGCCGCTGTCACCTTTAGACTTGCTTCCATTGACGGCTTGGTGTCGCTTGCTGGGAGGAGCGAGATCCTCAGCGGTGCTGATGGGAGGTCTCTTCCTGTCCTCCATCTTGGATAAGGTGGACGGACGCGGAGAGGCAGTCGGGGCTGAAGTCGCTACAGGCATGAGAGAGGCAGAGAGAGGCTGAGACAGCGCGAGCAACCGGGTCGGCGAAAGCGATGAAGGGGACTGGATGATGAAGCCAGATGATGATTACGCGTTGATCCGGGCCACGCGCGGTGTCGAGATGGTCGTGGCTTGTCGAATTCGCGCAGAGGATGGGGGGTGGGAGGCAATGCTTGGGCAAGGAGTGAAAATTCGAGGTTGCCGACGCTTCACGTCTCTTCTCCTGCTGAGATCAAGCCAGCCCGGTCCACTTCTCAAACAGGACTAGCTTTACGCTAACCAGATGGGGCCTCGTTATCAAGCGCCCCGCAGGAGCCGGTTAATCGTCGGCCTCTTTCTCCCTCCCGTATCTACCTTTTTTTTTTCTTATCCCACCCGCAGTCCGTCACTCTCGTCCCTCCCGCGGCACATCAAAGTCTTGCGCAAGCCAAATCTCCGACGAAACAACCCGCCGCTGTCCGCAACCACACACCAAAGACCCGGCCATGAGGCTATTTCCACATCGATAATTAGAGAACCCTCAACAGAACCGTCATCATGAGCTCCATGTTCAAAAAGAAGGGAGGCATGGCTTTCAAGCCGAAAATGCCCATGGCCCGTCCTCGAGCGCCTGGTGCTGCCTCCTCCCAGCCATCAAGGGCCGCGTCGACGATTGCCACAGAACCAGCGACGCAGTCGGAGACTCCCGCCCCGGCTGGCGGTCAGTCGGCGCAAAATGTTGACGATGTCACGGGGACGAAAGAATCCGGCAGGGTTCAGGTCACTGATACCCCGCCATCGACGAATTCGGACGCGATACAGACGGCCACGCCGCAAACACAGAAGCCCACCAGCGAGCCCGCGACTGCGTCAAAACCTACAGCACAGAGCGAAGCGACAACAGAGAATGCGACACCATCGGACGAGACCTCCACCAGCGAGACTACTTCGACACAGACGTCGGCCACTGCCGCCGCAGATGCCCCTCCTCCAGCCGCCGAGACGTCAACGCCCACCCAACTGCAAACACCTCCAGCCACCCTCCCTTCTGCCACCGACGTCGTCCCCTCCGTCGAAACGCCTGCCGCCCCTCCTGCGAGCGAACCGTCAAAAGCCCCCGCCAAGCGACCGAGGAAACGAGCCCCCCAAACAGACGACGACGAGACGGCAGAGGCCAGCGAGAGCGCAGCAGCCTCAAAACCGAAGCGACAGAGGAAAAAGAAGGACGATGCAACAACCGCAGACGGCAGCGAGGCCCCAAAGCGACCGGCCCGCCCAAGGAAAAAGAAGACGGCGGAGGATGGTGCAGCAGCAGCAGCGGCGGCGGCAGCGACGACCGATGGAGGGGAAGACAGCGCAGGAGCGGAACCCAAGCCAAAACGTCCCCGACGAGCCCGATCTGTCACGCCAGAGGATGCCGAGAACCAGGAGGCCGACCTGAGCGTCCTCACGATGGGCGACCTCACACGAGACCTGCGCATCGGCAAGAAGTTCAGCCGGCACGACGAGCTCCTCGAGCGACACCGCGAGAAACAGGCAAAGGCCAGGGAACGGCTCAAGAGCAGGCGGAACGGCACCGAAGACCCCTCCGAGAGCGGCACCCCGGGACCGCGCAGCGCCAACGGCACCCCTGCCCCCGCTGTACCTGCCTCAAAACCGCAACCCGCCGCCTCGGCCAGCATGGGCCAGACCGGGCCCCAGTTCCAAATCATCGACGGCCAGATCGTCGTGGACCAAAACTCCCTCGCCCTCGACCGCCACGCCATTGCCGACGCCAACGCCGAGGACATGCTCGAGATCGAAGAGAACGACTTCACGACGCTCACGACACAGAACAGCTACCGCACCGGCTCCAAACTGAAAGGCCCCAACGTCTGGACAGAGGACGAGACGGAGCTCTTCTACCGCGGCCTGCGCATGTTCGGCACCGACTTCCAGATGATCAGCGGCATGTTCCCCGGCAAGAACCGCCGCCACGTCAAGATGAAGTTCAACCGCGAGGAGCGCCACGCCCCCGCCCGCATCGACGCCATCCTCATCGGCAAGAAGGAGCTCCAGATCGACCTCGAGGAGTACAAGACCTGGACAAAGGCCGAGTACGAGCCCGTCGAGGACATCATGGCCGCGCACCGCCTGCAGCAGGTCGAGTTCGACGCCGAGCAGGCCAAGGCCAAGGCCCAGAAGGAAGCGGACATGGCACGCAAGAAGGCCGCGCTCGAGGACCCCAGCGACCGCCCCGGCGGCGCGCAGGCGTCGTCGTCTGGTGGCAAGAGCAAATCGCGGGGCCAGCAGTCTGGCGGCGGCGCCAGCGCGGGGCCGCAAATCACCGTCGACGCCGACGGCATGATCACCATCGACGAGACGAACATGGACCCCGACGCGGGGGCGCGCAAGAAGAGGGGCGCGGGGAAGGCGAAGAAGAAGGCTGTGGAGTACAACATGCGTGGGGAAATCATCAGATAAGATGGGCGGCGAAGAAAGGGACGGACACGGGCGGGCGGGCTACTACTTCTCACTACTACTTCTACCACAAGACAGATACCCTTAGCACTCGGCTCCAGGACAAGAAGCTTCCTGAATTAAGGGGGAGGCTTTACTTTGCATCAAACGGCGTTTTGTTTGTCCTGGCTTTTCTACTTCTATTTGCAGTAGCTTGCGCCCTCGCCTAGAACAACGGCACGAAGACGAAGAGAAATACAATCACTTCTTGAGACTTGACCAAAGTTTCCTACCATCCCATGACACGTCCGAAGCAAGCAATGACTACTCCCCTCCCACACACCTGATGTTTTCACAGTGACTACCATCCCACCACACACCTGCTCCTTCAGTCTTCTTCTTCGTGTCGCCGCCCGCAGCGACGAAACCCCACAATGAAAAAGAGTGTGATACAGAAGAAAGCAAAAATAAGCCCAGTACGGCCTCGCAGCGGAGCAACCATACGATGAGGGGCACAGCCGCGGTGTGTGCAATGCAGGTCCCCCAGCACCACGGCCCGGTTCTCTTGATCTCCGGGCCGTTCAAGCAGGTAAGTATACAGAAGAAGACAAAATTTCGAACAGCGTCGGGGAAGAGTCGGTTTTTATACCCGCGGGGAATGGCTTTACTTCAGGCCGTCAAGGGCAAAGTGCGTACTGAGGCCAAAAAGGTGAGGCCAAACCTTCGAATTGGCCTCACAGGGACGTACCTCTGTCCAGACACAGCTTGCACATCACCACGAGACATGCAGGACGAGACCTATTTGGCACTGAAAAAGTTGAATTACCTGGTACTACCTGGCCTGGCTACCTGGGACCGACGCCACGCTCTCTTCCAAGCCAGAACAGGAGCAATCCTGGTTAACAGATGAAGCAAGTGCATTTGCAACCGTGAATATTTTGCGACCCTCGTATGCGTCAGTTCGTCCTCCGCATGCCGATCGTCGTCTGGCCGCCTCCGTGCCAGTCTCTCGGAAAAAAGAACCTTCTACCTCCACTGCGAACGATGAGCGTCCATGTTGCCCCTGACGGTTGGGACCTTCGTCGTCCCGACCAAGGTATGCTCAAGTCTCCTAATTCTTTGTTACCAAGCTAACACCGTCCGGTAATTCCTGTGCGTGTCTGTCGTAGGTTGGGTTTGTCATGCAGTCGTTCAAGGGTGGCTTAGTTCTGGGGCGGGTCATCGTCGTCGGGCTGGTCAAACAAAAAGTTTGCCGCGAGCTCCTCGTTCTTATCACACGCGAAGTAGGCCTGGATGGCAGCGTCGCGGTCGAAGCCGAGACGGCATAACTAGGATCTGTCAGCATCACTACTCGAGTCCAGATGTACAGGTGACGCACCCGCTCAATAGCATCTCGCTCCTCTTCGGTGACGGCGATGGCCTGCGCGCCAGGAGGCAGAGGCACGTCATCGTCAACCTCCTCGCCCAAGAGCTGCAAGAACTGGTCGGGGTTGTTGGCGATCAGCTGCGCGAGCTGGGGGTTGCCAGCGCCGAGCTGCTGGAGGATAGGCTCGAGCATCTGAGGCTGTTGCTGCACGACCTGGCGCAGCTGCTGGAACTGAGCGTTGTTTCTCAGGAAGTCGAGGTTGCCGAAGCCACCCTGAGCAGCGGCGGCGGCCGCAGCAGCAGCCGCAGCCTGTTGGTTGCCACCAGCGCCGCGAGCAGCACCACCACCGCTGCCACCACGCTGAGCGGCGAGGTCGAAGAGGTTGACGCCCTCCTCACCGCCCGCGGCAGCGGCGGCGGGTTGTTCGGCCGGAGCAGCGGCAGCGGCCTGGCGCTGGGCCTGCTCTTGTTGGACGCCTTCGGGGATACCCTGTCAAAGTCAGTTTCTGATCAAGACAACATACGAGCCAACCGTTCTTACGTTGAGCAGGTACTCGACGGCGCGGTCGGGGTTGTAGAAGGCGGCACGCATGGCAGCGTCGATCTGACTACGCTCGAAGCCCATGGCCTCCATGTTCGCAATCACCTCCTGGCGCTGAGCACCCATGGCCATCGAGGGGTCATTGCTGGCGGCGTCACCACCACCGGTAGAGCGAGCAGCGGGCGTCGGCGTGGAGGGAGCGGCCGCGGGCGCAGCAGCGTGAGCGGCCGGCGCGGGAGGGGCAGCCGGGGTAGCGGCGACGGGCTGGGCCGGAGTCGCGGGGACGGCGGGAGCAGAAGAGGACTCGGCGGGGGCTGGCTTGGGTGCCTTGGGCTGTATGGTTGTCAGCATTCGCGAGCCGGGTAGCGTCTCCGGGGTGCAAACCTTGTTCACCATGCACACGACGAAGCCCTTCTCCTCAATCTTGTAAGACTCGACTGTGTCGTCGTCCTTCAGGATCTTGCCTAAAACCCAGTCAGCCGAAGCTATCGCAGGGTGCCTGCGCCGCGAGAGCACCTACCAGAGTAGATAAGCTTCTGGTCCTTGGGATCCCATCCCTTCTCGCCGGCAATCTTCTGCTTTACAGCAGAGATCTGTACGTCTCGTTAGCTTCGGGTCGGGGGTCGCAAGGCAGCCGCAGACGAGAAATATCGGAGGCGGAAGTGGGGGGAACAACGCACCAGGTCGGTGGGCTCGACATCGAGCGTAAACTTTTGTTGCTTCAAGTCCTGCGGAAGAGTAAAAGGATTAGCTGTAGCTCGGGGCGGGTCGGCTGGAGGAAAGACAGCGCAAAGCGAAGAGGCGTGGGATCGCGGGCTGGGAGGGCGGAGCTGCGTACCTTGAATGTGACCTTCATCTTGACGAGCTTCAGAGCAGCAAAAGGCTGCGATCACGGTGGGGAGAACAGAGGGTGGCGGAAAGATGAGAGGCGGACGATGCCGATGAGGACGGGCAGTTGCAGTTGTAGATGCGCAGGAATGGAACGCGTGGGACAAGCAGAGGCGATCGAGATGGGAAATCCGTCACCCAAGCTGGAAGGGTTTTGTTGTGCGCAGGAGCAGGCAAGGTACTCAGGCACAGAATTAATGGAGATGACGAAGGTAAGTGGTGACCTGAAGTCAGTTTTGGTTGTGTTGCCGCTCAGTGGGGGGAGGGGACTTGGGAAGGGAAGGCGTCCGGCGGTTGGTTGGCTGAGGGAGGTAGCTCCACCGATCCAATGGCGGGCAGGGTACCGTAGGTGGGTAGCAGGTACCGTGCTGGTGCTGGCTGGCGCTGGCGCTCAGGTGGTGGTAATCTTTCTTTGCTTTGAGGTTGCTTTGGGCGGTGCTGGGGTGAGGTTTGGGTGGTTCAAGTTTCCGCTCTCTCCACTGCAGCCGAGCATTCACAACACACTGTGACGCCAGACATTCGCGGAAGGCAGAAGCATTGCTGACTGGCCGTCTACAAGGTACTTTACCTACCTAGGTGCCTAGCGCTGCCGTGGCTCTGGTGGCTCTCATGGTAAACTTTTCCCCATGTGTGTGTGGTAAGAGTGGCGGTGCAAGCACTCTGGTGACTTTTAGGCAGGTGAGAGAGGCCAGGCAAAGGTGAGGCGGGGGGAACCTCTTTGCAGGTGAGGGGTGACGGGCCTGTCTGGACAACCAGGGAAGCCGCTGGAACCATTGGATGAAAGACAAAGCTGTCGGCTGGTTTTTTTTTTTGTTTTTGTTTTTTTCCCGTCTCCAATGGCTGTCATATGCGCCTCAACTCATTTGTTCCCTCAAGGAACCAAAACCCAGCAGCCACGATTCTCAGAACATGTGTAGTCTGCAGACTTTTGTCAGGCAGCCACAGGAAACGGGCGGGGTGCTGGCAACCTGGATATGTCTTTAAACCTGTCGTACAGTAACACTATTGCCTGCGAACCAGCGCAGAGTCTGGAGCTTTGCTGACCGCCATCGATGCGCAAACCATGGCCTATGTCAAGTATCATGATGCAAATCTATCTCTGATTTTCTTACATGCCTCCTCTTATTTGATCCAGGTACCTCGGCAAGCAAGCTGCTTGTAGGAGCGCCTTGACTGCTGGGACCAGACTACGCAGTAAGTGTTTGCTGAGGTAAGAAAATACCCGTCCGTGGCCGTGCCCTTTCCCACCCGCCGGACCGAACGGTACACCCGTCCCGACTAGCGCATCGGGATCATCTATGTTCCGAGATCTGGAGAAACCCGGAAGCCTTCGACGCGCCCGTCCAAGTTCATCCGCCTCTGCGCCGGCGCCAACATCTATGCTCAGCCTATCCCTTGTTGGGAAGTTTATTTCACCACGTAGATGGGACTTCACACAGCACCAAAGAACAGGAAATTCATTTGACTCGTTTGATTTGTAGCTACAGTAGCTATTCTACCTGCTCGACGGCTGTGGCTTCATGACCGCCAGACTGACTTCCTCTCTCCCTTTTTTCCTCCATACCTACCTCCCGGGACAACGCCACGCTGGAACAAAGAAAAAAATAAATAAAGCCCTCAAATATGGTATCACCGCCCGAGTTTGTGTGTGTGTTGTGTACTCCGTTTCGTAAGTCGCCGAAGGACGTACTACTAGGAATTAGACATTCGTGAAGACCACGCCGGGTCAGGGTATTTCCCTTTTTTGTTTATTTTTCCCTCCTCGTATTCCTGTGGGGAGGGGGCGTGTTGTTGCTGTAATGCTGCCCCTCCCCTCCGTCATCATCATCATGATTGTTCCTCCTTGACGTCCCCGTCTTCGATCCGGAGCTTGCGGCTGTGGTACCCGTTCAGGCTCGTCCGAGCACCGGCGGTAAGTATCCACTCCGGGATCGGTGGAGTCATCTGTCTCTCGTTGGGATCATCAAGCTCTTCCTTTTCCTGCGGCGACTCGAGCTCCTCCTTCTCCTCCTTGACGGGAGGCCCGTTGGGAAAGAAGTTGTCGATGCTGCTCGTGCGACTGAGCGGGCTGGGCCCGGAGGGCAGACTGCCGCTCCTCATCCGGCGCACGCTGTGCCTGTCCGAGATGACACGGCCTGCGTCGGGCGCGGCTACCACCATGGTGCCGGGTGTCACCATCGGCGGGGGGGCTGGCGAGTCAGACCGGAAAAGAGGGTGGATGTGAGATTCACTGGCAGAGCCTTGCATCGTGAACGCGGGCTCCGGTCGTTGAAGCTCTCCGTCACTCGCGCAGTTCTGCATGGTGAAGGTGGCGTTGGGGCGGCGGAGGTCTGCGACGGGGCTGTAGCTGCGGCTCCTGCGGCGTGCGCGAGGAGGCTCCAGGTCGAGCGGCGTCCCAGGGCTGGGGCTGCGACTTGTGGTAGGGCTGGCGGGAATCGTCTCCAAGAACCGGCCGGGGGGAGACGATGTGCCGAGAACGGTCATGCGGCTCTGCATGTCAACCGAGGAGGTGTCCCAGGAGTCAAAGGACGAGTCCTCGTTGACGCTGCTCGACCGGGAGCGGTAGTGGTTCGAGTCGATCGACTCGGCCCTGCGCTTCTCCCGCAACGGCAGCAGGCGCGTCCTGGAAGAGATGGGGCGGACAACGTTGGACAGGGAAGAGCGGATGGAGCTCAGGGTCTCAGTCGCCGAGCGGCCGCTGCTCGACTGGGGAGGGGTCTGAGAACCCATTGAGGTGGAACGACTCCGGCTCTCGTACGTAGGCGACGTGCGGGTGTAAGGAATCGACTTGACCGACTTGGTGTGGAAGTGAGGCGACCTCCTCGTCGACTCCTCGTCGGTGTTGTAAGAGTCTGCCTCCTCACGGGCAGACAGGCGTGCCAGGACAAAGTGAATGACGATAAAGATGAGCTGACACGCGAAGCAAAGACCAAGCGCAACGGACGAGGCGATGAGGAAGCTCGTCTGCTTCGCACCGAGAATCGAATCCGACAAGCCCCTCGTCGCGTTGCCGAGGCAGATCATAGTGGCAACCGACGCCGCGGTGGCCAGGGTGCACGTCAGGACGCTGACGCCGAACATTGCGCTGATGAGGCGCTTCGAGGAGTTCCGGAACTTTGAAATCAAGTTTGCTGACAACATCCATCCCAAGACCGCCAAAAGAATGCTTTCCAAAACCGAAGACAGGACGGACGACGTCCTTACGGGGGTGACCTGGGTGATGTGTGCGGCGAGCACGACGTGGATGACGACGATCGTGATGGTAGCGATGAGCGCAAGTGCGCCGGCCACGATTGGGAGCGCTCGCGGTAAACCCATGGCGTAAACTGGGGCTGTCAAAGCCGAGAACTAAACGTATTCGAACCGGTGTAGTTGCTGTGCTGGATATCCTCCTCTTTCCAGATGAGGAAGACGGGCTGACAAGGGTTGCTTCGAGTGAGCAAACGCCGAATGGGATGCGTAGTGGTGGTCTGCCGGAGACCGGAGTGGGCCAGAATCTGTTTGCTCTTCAACGGCGTATACCCAAACGCTGAGAGGACCTGTCAGAGCCGTGATCGTTGGTGATATCACAGGCCAGCCGGCAGGTTGGTGAGTGCCTTGCAAAGGGCAAGCGATGCCGACTACCTTATACGATGAGGACTGGGCCCCAGAGAGGCGAGACGGCCACGGGATGTCAACTGGTGTAAGCGACTAATTGACGAAAGGGTCCCGGATGGTAGACTGTGGGAGAACGAGATAAATGGGGGACGCGGTTGACCAGCCGTGTACATGGGCACTGGTGGTTTATTCGATCTGTAAGAGAGCTCCGTTACAGAAACTCTCTCGACAGGTTGAATGGGTAAAACTGGGGTCGTGGTTGTGACGAATGAGATGCCAGGCAATGAGCAGCGAGATTCTTGTATGGAACTGCAAGGTTGAGGCGGGATAGAGATGGCTTGAATCTAGGGCCGCGAGAGTAGGTCGTTGGCGAGCCAGGTTGTCGATGATGGGATTGGGTGAAGTGAACAGAGCCCAGGTGAGGTTTAACGAGAGAATAGTAGTTGGTGAAAAACGAACGGAATGGGGGGGTTGTGGGAAGAGGCGTAGGTGTAAGTAGAGGGGACGAAGAACGAAACCTGGGAACCAAACGCATAAAGTATGGCAGACGGTCGTGGACGCGTTTTTGTGTGTGCGGTGCCTGGGTTGGGGGTAGATGGCATTCTGTCGAAGTGGAGGAGGAGCTGGGACTACAAGGTCCAGCGTCGCGTGGGCAAACGGCAGACCGAGCGAGTTTATTCGTAGCGCAGGTACTCAGAGGTCTGTACCTTACGCTCACGCCTCGGCCGGCCGGTGGGCTGGAGTCTTGTCTTGCAGGACCCAACCCGACCCAGGCTTCTTCCAAGGGGCAGTGAGAGACGAGTGGATGAAAGGACGACAATGACAAGGGTGGAGGGGAAGTGATGCCGTGGTGGAGTGCTCGGAACGAAACACTGGCAGCTACCCTTGTCTGTGCTGGGGGGTGTGTGCTCCTGGGACAGACTCCGGCTTTTGGTGTGAAGGTCTGAGATTTTTGGGTTTTTTTTTTTCTTTCGAGTCTACTGCGACCGGGGGGACAGTGACTTTGGGGCCAGGGACTGGGAGTCCGCGGCGGCAGGGGACTGAGGCCCGGTGACGAGATGATTCGGGATCTGTGATGTGCTGCTGCTGCTGCTAATCCTGCTGATGCTCTGCCGTGCCTGGGTCGGCGTGCATGCCATGTACCGCAGCTGCAGATATTGTAGTGCGGGAGACCGCCAGACGTTAAAGAAGAAGGATCAAGAGGGCAGAATGCAGGGCTCTGTCGTCCCATCCAATGACGATGCTCCCGCTGCCGCTGGTGATATGCTTCTGACAATGCACACGCAGAGCCAGTTAGAGAATTGGACGATGACCGGACGATGCGACGGCTATGTGCTCTCTGACCTCGACCTCTCGTCCTTCCTTGTGCTT